ACTTTTTTTTGTAAAATGATAATTTTAAGCTTTAAGTATTAAATTGAAAAGGTTATGAATTTTCAACTGTAAAATGTTTCATATTCCGTGATCACTGTCAATTTTTCGTGAAAGTTTAAACTTTATTTACTTTTATGAAAAATTGTGACAATATATAGGTATATATATTCTTGATAGTTTCTATACAAATAAGAAAATCGTTTGAAAATCTTTTATAAAATTCTCAAGTTTTTTGTTAAATTAAAATAAATTTATTGACATTTTACAATAAAAAGTAATAAAATTATCAAAATTTAAAATATTTATAAATAGCACAAAATCTGAAAGTATAATAAAAGTAATGAAAGTAATGAAATTTCAAGAGAATGCTTACCGTTTAGTAAAAATATTAATCCTCTTCCATTGTTATTTATAAGTTACAGTAAAAAAAAAAGTATTATATCTCTATAATTTAAAAAATTTTTTAGATATTTAATACTGTTCGCCTATATAGAAGATTCCTGTAATGGATGCACTAGTTTATGTGTAATTGCTTTGATGGCCCAATAAAAATTTGTTTTACATTTTATTTGTCTTCAAAAACCTGGTTCATTCAAATAATTTTTAGAATATTATCTTAAATTTAAAAATGAACACTGTAATTGTATTGTTTACAAAATGCTAACACCAATCGAGGCCTCACACTGTTTTTATGCTTATCACGCGTTTTTCACGCACAAGTCGCCGACTTTTTGATGAGAAGTGTGGTAAATTCAATAATAATGATAAAAGTAGAATATTAAACTATAAAAAAACTTATAATCATTATAATAAGTACAAAATAACATTTTTATTTAATAACCAGTATAATTATATTACTATGATATCTAAAAACTGAAATTTCTGTCCAAATACATAAATAGTTACCATATTTTATTATAATAACACATAACTTAAATTTTTGAAAATAAATTGGTACGTTTAAAATTTTGTTAGCCTTATTTTTGTTATTATTTTATCATTTTATTTTAGTCGGCGACTCTAACGTGAAAAACACGCGACAAGTGCAAAAACTTTGTAACACTTCTATTATTATGAATAATCAACTAAAGTATTTATTTTTATAAACAGGATAATACTCTAAACAAAAAATTGAATAAACCAAAATTTTGAAGATAAAAAAAATTGTTTAAATAAAAATCTTCATTGGGCAATCACAATGAGGACATGTGTACTAGTGACCATATCCATTACAGAAATAGCTTACATATATATATATATAATAAAATATAACAATATAATAAATTAATTATATATAACCCTATAAGCATCAAAATAAAATTCTTCAAAAACCATATTCATGACGATCGGAGTAATCTGTCTGGTCAATTTCATGCATTCAGTCTCAAATTATTGATAAATTTTAAAAAAAAGTATGTAATGGTTAAACAAATACATTCCTCGTTTCATTTAAAATAAGAAATATTATTTTAATTGTTATTTTTAAAAAAAAATAATTTTTATTGATTCTATTCCAACTAATTTGATTTATCTCTTAAATAATATACAAAATTTTTACTAATGAACAAAATAATAATAATATCGTAACAATCCCGTTTTCAGTATAGGTTAGACTATAATTCAGTTTTTTTTAAATAATTCGTATAAAGTTCCATTAAACTTGACGATTTCACAATAAAAGCAATAATGGTATTTACAAATTATATTAATCTCAACATTTTTAACGAGTATAAGTTCTTGTTATTATGTTAGTTTGAACACGTTACGTCGTAAAAATGATTAACGAGCTAGATGACACAATTGAGATTATTTTTAATAAAATAGAATCTGGTGAACTGAATACAAATAAGTTGAGAACTAAATCATGAAATTTATTATGGTTTGACAAGAAAATTTGAGTTCAGATGAACAATAATAAACTTTTTTTTTTTTTGTGCACAGTTTACATTGTGTAGTATTCTATAGTATTCTTTATTATTCTTATATTATTTAACCGCGAGTTAATTCGTACCTATTTATAATAATACAATGTTTTAAATACAACATAACAATGAAAAGTAACGCTACACTGTTGTGATAGGTATGAGGAAAAAGGACACTTGTATTATTTTAAATCGAATACCTACTAAGTTATTGTAAACTACGAACAAATCAAGAGCGTTTTTAGTTTTTACTATTACGTTTCTTTTTATTTTCCCTGATATTCATTGGATTGTAAAAAACTCAATAAGTCTAGTTAAACATCACTTTGGATAGGGAATCGAACACACAAATCGTAAGGATACTTTTTTAGAAAATCACTGAAAAAATATACATGCGAGCATTTTATATTTAATAAAATCTTGACCACATTGTTTGGATGAATCCGACGACAAATATTCCATCCATAATCGATTTTCGAATACTATATAAATTATTTGTTCTCGTATTAAACAATTAAAGACTCAATCAATAGTTTACCTCTCCAGGAGAGTTATAAAAAATAAATTATGTATCAAATAATATCAATCTGCATTGACGTTTGATAGAAAAGTGTAACAATATATATAATATTGTATGTGTATAATACGAATCTTCATGCCAAATATACCATGGATAGTGACTTATATTATTGTATTATTACCATGGTACGTGCACTTTGAGAGTAGCACAAAAGTTTTAAATAAATTGCCAAATGGACGTTAATATCTGCGCGTATCTTATATGACATTTTAAAGGCAATACGTTACATAAAAATTTAAGTAAAATATTATTTATTTATTAATTTATTATTTTTGATTATTTTTGAGAGTATTGATGATTAGAACCATGTAGTATTATAGCATCAGTTTATGTAGGTTTTACGTCAATACTAAATTCAAATTTTTTATCTATTTTGATAATTCTAAGATTTAAGAAATTTAATTTATTATTTATTTGTATTTGGAGGGTACATTTAATATTTTAATTTATTTTGTTTAAATATTTAATCGAAATTTTCTGCTTGTCTATTTGAGCTTTTAAATATAATGAAAGTGTCATCAACATATTTATAAGATGCATTATGCTTTTATGTATGGATAATATATTTTTTTATTAACAATATTATTGGTTTCATAATTTTGCATGTACATTTTAGATAAAATAACAATTAAAGATCCACCTATAACAAACCCTTCTTTTTATACACTTGCATTATAATTATATACTATCTTTTCTCTATTTCATCTAATTTACGTATTTCTATTTACTTGGTTACATTGTTCCAAATTGGTTTAAAATTATTTTTTACTGCATTAAATTTATTTTTTTATTTTTTCGATTGTATCAATTGATCCATTTATTATAATAAGCCATTTAATCCAAAAATATAAAACTAAATTTTAAAAAATTATTGATCACTAAGTTTCTGTTTTATTTAAAAATATAAAACTTTTATGTGAACGTTTAAAAAATGTTTGAGAACTAAAATACTTGTCCATTTACACAAATAATAATAATAATAATAATACAAACACCCGAACGTATTTTTTTACTATGCTTTATTTATAGCTTGGTGTAAAATAGTTTTTGTTTCTTGGATATTTTAAACGTCAATATAATTAGAGATATTTTTCAATAAAACTCAACTGTAACCCTTGATCGTTATAAAGTTAATTTGTCATAATATAAAATGTGCAAGATACAATATCAATATGATATTCAAGGATTATGGCATTAATATCCTTAAATAATTTTTAAATTTAAACGTAATATGATTAAGAAGTAAATAATGACTTGAAGTCTTACTAAACTAATGTTTAATAATTATTTTTTATATTTTCTTAAAAAAAAAGCATTTTATAAAATTAGAATGTAAAATGGTCCACAAATTTACAAATATAAGTGTCACATGCATTTTTTTCTTTATCAATTGAACTAATTTAAAACCATTCTAAGATTCATCATTAAAATAATTGTATTGAAAATTCGTTAAAGAAATAATTTAATATTAACGTTTTTTTTTTTTGTTTTTTGTAAATATATTGTAACTAAACATTTTGAAATTCAGAATTAAATTTAATATCAAATTTAGGATACTTATTTATTTAGATACTTATTTTTATATTTCCTTTGTTTTTTAAGAAATACTAAAAAAAAATATATATATATATAAAAATAAATATAAATATGTAAATAAAAATATGATTATTGAAAAATCTAATAGACCCCAATTAATCTATATAAAATAATATTGCTATGAACACGTGTTAATTCTACTAATATACTCAGACTCCAAATATTAAATTGACCATTTTAAATTCAAACTAAATAACTTAATACGAAGTTTTATAAAATATGTGTATTAATTAAGTTATACAATAAAATGTAAATTATTAAATAAATAATACATTTTATACATGTTATTTATATTTTAAATACGTTAAAAATTAAATAAATAAGTATTATATTTGGTACTATATTAAGTATTATATCATAATATTAAAATGAAAAATATAAAATTTGTTAATTTTAAAATTTATGAAAACTAAAATGCATAAAATGATCGATCAAAATTTTAAAATTTACCCAAATGAAAATATAAATAATTATATTAAATTATTATACTAATACAATTTTCTTCAATTTTTATAAATGAATGATTTTTAAAAAAACACTACGTTATTATATATTACGATATAATACTGTATACTATATAAAATCAAAAACCTCTACTAATATAATACGAATAAACATTTTACTTTGTTTATTTAAAACTGTTAAGAGCATTTAAATGTACTTACATACAAATTTAATAATTAAAAATGTTATACTCAAATATAGTACCAATAGAATTCCGTTATAAATCCAAAGCAAAAAACGATCATTGTAATAATTTATTATCCAACAAAATAAAACACAGCTTTAAATGGTAATCAAAAATACATTATAATAAATTAATAAATATGAATAAATATTATAATATTTATATTTATATAATATGTATATACATACATAAATATATATATATATATACTCACTAATTCGTAATAAATAATTGAAACGTATTATTTACGGTTCTCTTGACTTTTAGGTCATTTTGGCCAAAACACTCCGAAAAGACTGACAGGTGAAGCTGACACAGAAACCTCTCTAGCATCTCGGTCGCGTACTACACGCAAACCGAATGGTTGCTATGGCAATCAGCTCGACGCGTTGCAATGCCTTTTCTCAATGAATTTACTGAACTGAAATCGTAGTTTTCGATATATTTTAATCACCATCGGTTTTAATTGATATTAATAACGAATTAATGCATACCTATTTTATATTATAATTATTATTTAATTTTTTTTTTATCATTTATTACCTTTACTTTACGAATAATTAAAATATTTATACTATACGGATACTGGTTTGTGAAAAAGTCAGTACATTACTTGAACCCGTGAACACATGTATTCTGTTTCAGTTAAATATTTGTCCACACTATTTATGAAATATACTTGTATAATACAATTCTGCCTAAGTTTTTCTTGATTTCTTGTAAATATTTATTCAATTTCAGTTCTAAACTAGAACACGAGTAATTTCATAGAAGTTAACAAATAATAATTTTGGCTTTATATCAATTGCACCGAAAATCGCAGGTAAAGAAAGACAAATTATGGAATGGAAAAAAGGTATACTTCTACGGCGCCGGTATAAAAAGGGTATAATTTATAGGTATACATCTAATGCGCCGATCGATATTCGACTTAATACATTTTGCGATTACTTCAATGATACACATATTGATGAAAATGCAACTTTTTCTCCGTATCTTTGGTCATTGTGTAACATATCAGGCGAAAGAACAACAAATGTCTGTAAAGCTTTTCACTCAGTGTTTAGGAAATATTTTTATTCACCCCATCCAAATATTTTTGTTTTTTATGAAGTTTTAAAAATAATGTAACGCAACAATCATAATGCGTGTTTTCTTAGTTATCATAAATAGACAAAACTCTACGTTTATGACAAAAAAATAAATGGCAAAATAGACATAACTAATTTTAATATTAGACTAAGAACTTTTCAAAATATGTAGGATTAGTGTAAATATATATATAATATACTATTAGTGTAAATACCAAGTATGTAGAATGATAAATTTGATTTTAATTTTAATTTTTGTTTTTAGCCATAACTTGTACTGTATACTTGTTATACCGGCGCAATAGATGTATACCTTTTTAATATACCCTTTTTATACCGGTGCAATAGATGTATACTATACAGGTAGTGTCCCAAATTCGGCGCAATTGACGAATACCAATAATTTATACTTAATACTATTATCCTTTATATATATATATATATATATATATATGTATATATAAATACAGTTATTCCATAAAAAAAAAACTTTGCCCTCATCTAAAGCAAAATTCCCAAACTTTTTGTACCGTTGACCAATTGCCGATTTTTCTTGTTATTTGTATAGCCAAAATATTGAAATTTTTAACATAACACTTTTATTTTTGTTTATATTTTTCTAAGTTAATTTTTTATTATTTAATTTTTTTTTAATTATTAAAATGAATGAAATATAGTAATTCTTATATTAAATAAACATAGATATTTTAATAGAAGGGATGCGCCTGATGCATTGGTAGCACATTTTCAATATTTGGTTTCAAGTTAATAATTAACTAGAGGAGATTTTCAATCAACTTTTTTTTTTCGAAAGAATTTCGACTACCATGTTAAACCATTTTATATGTGGCATTAATACGGAAACGCTATGAAAAATTTTCTTATGATATTCCATAATACAAGATTTATAATAGGTATGTCTCTTTGAAACTTCATTACACATTTATTTTTCGTAAAATGCCGATACTGGTGTTAAACTATCATGAATTACCTTTTAAATTTCATGTACCAGCAATTTTTTTTTTTTTCGTGACATTTATAAGATATAGTCGACCTCTGGAGATTCAAAGTTTTGTATTTTAAAGTTTCTAATGTTAAAAAGTTTCATACTTTATGTTAAGACACTATCATTCCTGATGTTGCTGCATCGTTAATTAATTGATTATACAGTAATTTTGAATGTCGAAGTAGTGTAACATACGTATTTTAATTGTCCGTGTTATTTAATGTAGGTATTCTGAAACTGAAGTACTCGAAATCTTTTTATAGAATTCACTAATTATTTTTATTACGTTCAAATATATATATAGTTGTTTGGTAAAGGCCTAGTAAATATTTTTGTACACTCTCATGGTATATATCTAAAAACTAAAAAGCCTTTAATTGCATTAAAACGACAGACGAATGAAATACGTAATTTAATTTAATTTAATTTATTTTAGCCAAACGTGCTTCCATTCAAGTTTAATGGTGTTTTGACCAACGTATCCATGGGTGACTGTTAACAATGGTTCTTGAAAAAAAAGGTTTTTTTTTATGAATAGTCGTAATCGAAAATATTTTAGTTAACAATTGTAATAAGATGTTAACCATGTATACACTCATACGAACAACAACGATTTTATGGATTACTAACCTACTAGACGTGGGTTGGTCACAAAATTTACAGACAATCAATATACGTAAGTTAAAAAAAATTAATTAATTTTATGAAAATATTTCAACTCACAAAATTAATTTTAGAAAAAATATTAAGTAATTTAACTTTTTGATTTCTAATAGTATTTATCAGTGACCGAAATAATTTAGTTGCCGAAGAAACTTTGAATGTAGCACTAAACTATATCCGAAGGAATCCCAGGATTGGATTGATGCTCGATGGTATATACTCGGTGAAAATTGGTGGAGATGATGCTTCAGAAATTTTAGAAACACGTATGATTTATATTACAATAACAATTAACTTATGTATATCTTTAAATTATAAAAAATTATCTGTCAACTGCATATATTGCGTAGGTGTAAATTATAATATCTATAAACAAAATTCATTTAATGCATATATGAGGCGAATTAATTTTACATATATTTTAATCATTTATAATTATGAATATTAATTTGAATTTAAAATATTTTTGATATCGATTGTTTTTTTTTTTATACTTAATTTTTTATAATTTATACAATTTTTAGTTAACTTAATACAAAAAACATCAAAAATGTATCAAATGTTGTGCATTTGCATAGTAAAAACTGTAAAGTAATATACTCGTAATTGAATTGGGTCATGAGGGGAAAAGTTATTTCTTATAAACCGGTTTAGAGGATAATTTATAAGATATTCTAATTTTTTCGGAAGTAATCAATGAACGTCTCACGCTGTCCAATGAGTTTAAAAAAAAAATTCTACAAAACTACTTATTGTATAACATATTATGTCTAAAAATTATATATATTTTTTGTATAATAATTTATATTAATAGAAAAAATATAATAACCATAAACTACTTAAAATTAAGTGTCCGATTACGAAAGCAGCAAATATATTTTTTATTTTACACTACACGCCTTATTGGATTACATTTCTTAATTGTTTGAATAACTTTTTACTAATTTATTTGGATGAATAATAAATATTTTTACTAAACACATAATAACAAGGGGAATTTTAGTATTCGGTATTTTTGTCGATGATTATATATTATTCGGTGAACATATTTAAAAATTCTTGTTTAAGCTTATGGACGTTATTTTATTTAAAAATATAGTCTGTGTGAATTATAATGCATCGATTCGAAACAATAAACCACCTCATTTGGTTATTGACACTACGATAAACGGAGTTACATCAGAAGCCGTTAAATCATTTACTGCTGCCTTGGCATTGCCCACAGTCAGTGCATCATATGGTCAAAGTGGCGATATAAGGTGAAAAACCGATACATATTGATAAAATAGTATTCAATGAGCTTACTTTATTCATTTGTTAGTGTTAAAAATGTGATACAACTATTGAAATGAAATATTTTCAACTTGAATTCGAGTTGAAAACCTAAAAGTTTAATGTTTATATTATTACATTTTTACAGACAATGGAGAAATTTAGATGGAGAGCAACAAAAATATTTGATCCAAATAAGTCCGCCTGCTGATATTATTCCTGAAATAATTAGAAGTATCGTGGTAGCACAAAATATAACGAACGCTGGTATAATGTTTGATGATACATTTGGTAAGTATACAAATTGCAAAAAATGTATGTATTTATTTTTATTTGAGTTTATATCTGAACACGTTAAGTGGGAATAAGTAGTGTTTGATTATTGTCGAGTTACTTATGTCATAAAATTACAGGAATTAATTTTTAGAATATTATTCTCCAAATCGGAGCATATTTTTTTATTTACTTGTTCACACATGTTTATCCGATTTAAGTTTAAATTAGTGGAGTAGGTTTACAAAAAAAAATTAGTAATAATAAATATTACTACGAGCAGATTATTGTAATATTCTATATAACCAGTGATTTATATTTATAGGATATTTTGCCAAAATATACCCTGATAATGGTTTTAATCAGTTAATAATGAAAATTTCTTATAAAGCTATAGTTACTTCTTTAGCACTAAAAAAAATATGTGAATGAGAATATTAGGATCCGTTTATTTCATAATAATTAAGATGGTATTCCGATATTAAAGATAATTTTAATCAATAAATAATTTTATTATTATAATTCTCGGTATCGATTCTTTAATAAAAAATAAAACAATAAAAGAATCTTATTGAATCTAATCGCATAATTTTACTGGAAAAATATTCATTAACCTTAAACATTATTAATATACTAATTCACTGATGTAATATCGCAAAACTTAAAATATTTCAAAGGAAAACAAAATAACAACTCTCTTTAAAAGTACAGTTTCACTTAGTTGGACATGGTGAGGAAAACTTCAATAATTCTGTTATTTGTTAATATCATACAACGGGGTGACGATAATTTTTACCAATTAAAAAAAAAATGGTTTATCTTTTGTACTAAAGTTCTTCGATAAAAAATTAAACTTTATAAAAAACATCTGAATTAAAATCAATTAAAAAAAGATCAATACTTAAAATATAGTCAATTCATTTCATAGTACATATATAAAATAATAAGTATACGCACTAACTTAAGAAGTTTACTGAATATGTATCTTTAATTTAATCAAATATAATTTTACTACATTCTATATAATTCTTTATAATAAACCGTTTCGAGTAGTTTTTAAGTTAAATTACCTTAAAATTATTTGATTTATGAATAATATTAGAATATCTAGAAAATATTATAAACTTTAATGGATTTCTGTTATTACAGTTATGGATCATAAATACAAATCGCTATTACAAAATATTCCGACAAGGCATATTATAGCTTCTATAGACGATACAACAAGCATCAAACTGCACTTAAGTAGATTTCGAGATGTAGACATAGTAAATTTTTTCGTTTTGGGGAAACTATCGATCATTAAATCAGTGTTGGACCACGCAAATTCTAACAAATTATTCGGTCGAAAATATGCTTGGCATGTAATCACACAGGTAAACAATTTTTTCTTCACAAAAATATTTTGTAAAACGTTTATGTATTTCAAGAAATATGTTTTTAACTTTTAATATTCCATTCGTAGGATAAAGGATCACTCAAATGTGGCTGTTCTAATGCAACTATTCTGTATGTTAAGCCCGAGCCAGATGCTGGAAGTCGAGAAAAATTATCGAATCTAAAAACAACTTATGGTTTAACATCAACTCCAGAACTAAAAGCAGCGTTTTACTTCGACTTTTACTATCGATCTTTGTTGGCCATCAGGTAAAATATTAACATTTAAGTCATCAACTATTTAAAGAAATGTGAATGTACTTTTAAAATGAATAATATGGTAAAATTTTTACAAGTTTCTATTCTGTTGTAAAAAAAAAAAATTAAAATATTTTTCCAGAAATGTCTTATGAGATTACAAGATGTAATAATCTATATTAAACATATATATTATTACTTGTTACTATAGCAACTATAATAAATACTATACGGTTATATGCAAATTGTACAAGAGTATAGTGAGACTAACTATGCTATATGGTTTAGAATGTTGGGTGGTTGACAGGAGAATAGTATAAAGTATGAGTGTTGCGGAAATGAGAATGCTTAGATGAATGAGTGGAGTGACAAGAGAAGATAGAAAAGGAATGAATATGTATGTGGTAATACTGGTGTAGCGTCGATAGTGGACAAGTTGAGAGAAAATATACTGAATTTGGTTATATGATGAGGCGAGAGGAAACAAAAGCAGCAAGAATGGTTATGAAAATTAACGTTAAAAGGAAAATAGGAAGAGGTAGACCATAAAAGAGATAGTTTGATACGATTGAGAGTGATATGAAGGTAGATGGTATGTACATAGGTAATGTAAAAAATCAAAACAAGTGGAAGCTTAAAACAAAAGTGGCCGACTTTAAATAGTTAAGAAAAAAGCGAAGGAGAAGAAGAATTATATGCAAATCACTACTTATTGCTATACCAGTTCTGAATTTTTTTACGCATTAATTGATTAGTTATCTTTATGTTAATAATATAATAACTAAAGCAAGAATTTTAATGATCAAAATAAATTAAAAGTATACCTTCAAATTATTTAAAACGATGTGTTAAAAAATAATTTTTAAAAATTACCCAACAGCTATTTTTTAAACATTTCTATGATATGATATATTTTAAAAAATCGTAAAAAGTAAAAATAAAAATGATTTTGGTTAATTTTTATTACTACATTAAATATCCAAAAATACTCATAATATCGAAGATTATTGTTATAAATAAATAGTTTTTGTTAGATATCTATCAATAAATCAACGATGGTATTTTATAGAACAGACTATCTTCATAAAAATTAATTGTGAATTATTTCTGTTATAAATGTACAAAAAAAAACATGAATTGTTTAATATAAATTATTTTTATAGATTAGACATCATATAAGGATAAAAAAATACTCCAAAAATTAAAGAAGGCTAACAACTGACCTAAAAAGTAGAAAAAAAATTTTTTTTTAAATATAAACTGTACATTCATAATTGATTTGAATAACATTTTTTGTTTGAAAATTGATACCCTATAAATCATAAGCAAATGTATTTATTATATAGGTATACTATATACTATCTACTGTCTTATCCGTTATGATATATATGTCTTTTATATAAAAATATGACAATAATGAAAGAACCAAGCATGAGTAAGATTTGTAAGTAAGTTGGAAAAAGGGTCATAAGTGAAAAATGCGAGTAAGCTCAGAAAGGGTACACATGTGAAAAATATGAGTAGAAAGGATTACAAAAAGTGAAATAAGCAGGTAGCAAAATCTCCAGGTGGCCAGGTAACAATATAAAATAAGAAGTTCTAATATATTATACTTATCATATGAATACTCAGAGTATGCTGTATCCCGAAGCTTTTACATTTTTCAACCAACAAAAGACGAAAAAAAAAACAAAATTTAAATTTATTCACCAACTATTATTTGTCAGTAAAATTGTTTTTCAACTTTATTATGGCAATTAGTAGCTATATCTTTGCAGTTTACGGTATAAAGTCTTCGATAACATTTATAAAAACATGCACGTTAACGTTTAATAAAAAGTTTTTTATACTTGTAATTTTAAAAAAAAAAATTAAACTTTAAGTATTAGTTTTTTAATAATATAATGTTTAATATATTTATATCGAATAAAATACTTTTTGAAAATGTGGATCAATATTTAGATCAATATTATAATGGTAATTGTCTAAAACAGTGCTTCTCAATGGGGGTGATATCGATATTTTCAATATACAATTAACTCCGAATAATATGCTCTATATTCCTTAAAAAGATTTTTTTCGTGAGTGGCTCTGTAAAGGGTTATTTTTGCCAATGAAACCAAAGAATCCCGAGAACGTTTAACCGCCTGTTTAATGTCGTTTTGTTTCGTATTATCATCATTGATGTACATAGACTTGTATTTCAGGAGGTGCCTACAATACTTTTATGCCCTATCTTATCAAAACGTGTATATAGGTGTAGATAGATTTAATAAATTATAATGTATAAATAATTAAATAAACATTACTTAATTTATTTTAATGTTGTGGTATATTATTACCAATGAATATGTATTATTTGAATCTTGTATATTTTTCTTAGATAGCTTCAACTTTTATCATTCATACTTTTATATTCAATTATATCTGTTATATTATCATAAGAAGTTTTTACTTGAAATTTAGTTTAATTTTTCTGTTATGAAACATAATTCATTTTTTACCAAATATTTTAGAATAAATTACATTTAACTTGAGCAACATCAATTAAAATACGGACCCTTTACTCTTAACCATAATTTTTAGAGCCCCATTCATAACATTGGGGGGAGGGATCCTGAGAACACCCGGCACCCCTCGTGCGCACTCTTATACCTATCATCATATAGATTCGTGGGTATTTCTATAAGAAAGTATACTTAGGATTAATAACAGTACTTCTTACTGGGAGGATCACTAGAAGATACGACATCACATTGTCAATGCTGTTAATATATAAAAAAACTAACCTCGGACAGGATAGTATAATTTTACTGTATTCGATTTGAATGCAATGATTGCATTCGATAAAAAACGATTCTGAGCGGACGAGGGAATCTTTTTTATTTAATTTTGTATAATTAATATTTAGTAAGAAAAAATTAGTAGGTACTTATCAAAAATATTTATATAATTCTAAAAAAAAAATCAAAAGTCGCTCAAATGTTTTGAAAATTTTCCATGTCTATTTAAGGCTAATATAAGTAAACAATCTAAATTTCAAGTTTCTACAAATGTTTTTAACCGAATTACAACAAAAAACTCCCAAAATTAAAATGTCTATAAATAGCTCAACAATGGCTAACATTTTCCGAACTTCAAACCGTAAGAAACAAAATCCAACTTACAACAAAAAAGATCTCTTGTTATTTTTCATTTGAAACTATATTTCTGGTAGAAAACGTCGTCCGTAATTATTTAATATTATAAAACCGTGAAATCGTACGTTTTTTTCTCCTTTAACCGCTTCTATTTCGAGTACCGTTTCAAAAATCGAAAAATTACGTCTCTTAAGTACCAGTTCAAGAACATTTCCTATCAGAAAAGATGCTACACTTGATACTTTTGAACAAGTTTAGAAGGAGAAAAATTGTTTACAGAATAAAAAAGAAAAAGAAAAATAAAAATAAAAAGAAATAAACATCATTGTAAAACCAATACATTCCTCGCTCCGCTCAGAATCTAATACACAATTTAAAGAAATGCCTTAATTATAATAATAATAACGAGTAATACCTAAGAATGCATAAGACAATGAGTTTCCAAGGTGTACAAAAATTGATTAAAAAGTTGCTACGAGTAACCTATAAGCATTGACCAAATAATTACTAATCATATTTAATCGGCTGATTTTACTTCAATAGAGAAAAAAGCAAGGAAGATAAAGAGAATGATATAACACCGAATCTCTCAGTAATAAATGCACTTTATCATGTTAATGAGCCAAAAATATTAATTGCCAACAACAATGCCAACGAATTATTATATCATTACAATAAAACTTCTTTCAATAACTTCTTCTACTCTAAAAATATAAAATATGTAAAATAAACAAAAATCGAGGGTTTTTAAAGTAGTTCATGTAAAATACTATGTAAGATTACTTTAAATTTATAAATTTACATTGCCATACACAACTTTTATTTTAATTTTATTGTGACAATCTAAATTATTTTCCTGCGTAATACAATTTCTCATTTAATATATTATTTTTAACTGTTCTCTAGTAGAGCGTTTTGAAATGTATTTAAATTGGTATTTCCTGTTAATTAAGTAAATAAATTATTTCTTAACTATTTTATTGTTTTTTTAAAACTATTGACTTATTTTAAAGGATTTATAGAAAAATTGTATGTTTAAAACTGTGAAGATCATTGAGGTATCGTTAGTAAATAGTTTCCATCTCAAGCTCCTCGTATTATTTTTCACTATAAGACACACATACACATATACATATCAGATTTTCTTATTTTTTTAAATAATAAATTGTGGGTGTATTTTAATAAAAAAAAATAAATAAACTGTACAGATCTATGATGAATAGTGTTGAATGGCCCACAAACATGACCTATACTACATGCGATGAATATAATGAAGAAAATCCACTTCCAAGAAGAAATATAGACCTACGGAGATATTTAAAAGATGTAATTAAAATTAAAAAAAAAACGTTCAGACCATCTCACTATACTAATAATATAATATATTATGTCCATACATTAAAGATGACTGAACCACCATCCTACGCTCCATTCTTAATAGATACAAATGGACACAGTTACGAAGAATTCACGATGAGATTGGAAAAAGTAACTGTGCTGAATAGTCAGTCGGTAAGTGCTGAAAACGTGGGCTCGTGGAAGGCAAGTCTGAATTCCCCAATCGTTGTAAAAGATGCAGCAAATATGTCACATTTTTCAGCTGTAACTGTGTATAGAGTGGTTACAGTTTTGGTAAATACTATTTATAATTAATATGTCTTTCACTTCAGACTGCAACCTAGTGAAACAAAAAATAATGTCATATCAAAACTAAGCTTTATTGTGTAAAAATGTAACGTTATTTACTGACCATTATTGATTTATATTAATATATGATTTATATAAACATTTTCAGCAAAACCCGTTTATGATTCAAGTTGATGATGAAGATGGTAAAGGGGTGGTAAAATTTAAAGGGTACTGTATTGATTTAATAGAAGAAATTAGAAAGTTAATCGGTTTTGAGTATGAGATTTACATAGCTCCGGACAATAATTTTGGTAACGTTGAAGTCGTTAATGAACCACAATCAAAATAAAAAATAATTATATTACATTTATTTGTTAACAGGAAATATGGACGAAAATGGCCAATGGAATGGAATGGTGAAAGAACTTGTCGAAAAGGTACACGCGTCCTGTGAAATATTATTAGCATTGGAATTAGCATTAGAATATTATTATTATTAGAAATATTATTAAATATTATTAATTTTTATCATCATAATTCTTAAGGTTTAAATACAATATTTTTCTAGAGAGCTGATATTGCATTGGGCTCACTTTCAGTCATGGCAGAGAGAGAAAACGTAGTAGATTTCACAGTTCCCTACTATGATTTAGTTGGCATAACAATTTTAATGAAAAAACCACAAACTCCAACCTCGTTGTTTAAATTTCTCACGGTTCTAGAAAATGATGTATGGATGTGTATACTTGGAGCTTATTTTTTCACTAGGTGAACAATAATATTACATGCACAGTTTTACAAATGCATATTTATATAAAAATTGCTTGTTTTTGGAATCAATTTTAATATCATTTTATTAGTTTTTTGATGTGGGTATTTGATCGCTGGAGTCCGTACAGCTATCAGAACAACAGAAATAAATATAAAGATGATGAAGAAAAACGAGAATTCAACTTAAAAGAATGCCTGTGGTTTTGCATGACATCATTAACGCCACAGGTAATAGTTTGAAATAAATAATATTAAAGCCAGCTGAATAAAATATTAATTTAAAAAGTTAATTAAAAATATATCAAATACATTTTTGAAATAATTATTTATTAATTTAATTATATATGAATATATTATATAAATTATAGTGAAAATATGTGTATACTCTTTTTAATTAATTGTAACTATTTAATGTACTTAACCTCTCCTTTATAGTATTAATTAAAATGTAATTTTCTAATTGGCTTTATAGTGAATAAATAGGTATAGAGTTTTACATTCAGTTAATAAGGGAACTTATGACTTAACTATGAAAATAAAAATTAAAACGATCTTTGTACTTCTACTTTATCGTAAAAATAATTGTATAGAATTGCAATAGCAAAATGTTAACGATAGAAATTAAAACCTGAATTAATTTGACATTTTGAAAAATTTCATAAATGTAGTGTTCAAAACTTGAATACATAGTTTATACTTTTTTTTAAACCAATACCAAACTAAGAAAATAAAAAAAAAATATTTCAATTAACATAACATTAATACTTACAAAAATATTATTTTTGTTCAATATTTAATAGGGCGGAGGTGAAGCACCAAAAAATCTTTCCGGTAGACTTGTTGCTGCTACATGGTGGCTCTTTGGTTTCATAATAATAGCATCTTATACTGCTAACTTAGCAGCTTTTCTAACAGTTTCTCGGTTGGATACACCTGTAGAATCTTTGGACGATTTATCTAAGCAATATAAAATTCAGTACGCTCCATTGAACGGTTCGGCAACAATGACTTATTTTCAAAGAATGGCTGACATCGAAACGCGGTTTTATGAGTTGAATATGAAATTTACAGCATTAACCATTTTGAGTATATATGGTTGATAAACTTTTTCTAATTATAGAATATGGAAAGATATGAGCTTAAACGACAGTCTCAGTGAAGTAGAGAGGGCGAAACTAGCCGTTTGGGATTATCCGGTTAGTGATAAGTACACGAAGATGTGGCAAGCAATGAAAGAGGCGAAATTGCCAAACACTTTGGAGGAAGCCATTGAAAGGGTTAAGAGTTCCAAATCGTCTAGTGAAGGATTTGCTTACTTAGGTATTAAATGTAAATATACACTCATTATTTGAGCATTGAAAATTATAACTAACAATATTCTGTATAAAATATCCGGAGAACATTTGTTATTTATGTATAGGAGACGCTACTGATATTAGATACCAAGTGATGATCGACTGCGATTTACAAATGGTTGGCGACGAGTTCTCTAGAAAGCCGTACGCGATTGCAGTCCAACAAGGGTCTCCGTTAAAAGACCAATTCAACAACGCGATATTATTGTTGCTGAACAAACGTAAATTAGAGAAATTGAAAGAGACGTGGTGGAATATGAATCCGGAGAGGATACAATGCGAAAAACAGGACAATCAATCCGACGGCATTAGCATCCATAACATAGGTTACACAATACAATTATTTTATCCATTCCCAAGTTTCATGTAACAATAACACGAAAACGAAAATCTATGCATGTTTTTTTTTATAAATATATATCATTTTTTTTTTTTTTATTGCGTCTTAATACGCAAGTTTGGTCGGAAATGTTCGAAATAAATCACCGTACATTGTACGTACATTTTCATACGTGTATTTTTGCGTACAATATTTAAATCATAACACTTATTTATGCATTTTTCAACTGTAAACTTACATAATACATGTTCTAGCACAATAACACTTCAATAATAATTTTGAATGAAAAAAAGTATCCATGATAATTTCCATACCCTGTAAAATATATAAACATATGAGCCGATTATCTTTAATTTACATATCATTTTAGCTCTATTATAATTGATTATTAATGATTTATGTATTGGTATCGTATGCGTATGTTTTTAAAAATTTTTTTAATATTCGTTATATAAACACCAAATATCCATAGATAAGTGCACACTCTATTAAACCGGATAAATTCAAATTCCAAAATAGATTAGAAGTATTTTCTAATAGCAATTATTATTTTGTTCTACTCGTATTAATTTATAAATTTTCATTGCGGCTATAAAAACTTATTTTTTTTTATTTTTATAGGTAAAATAATTTATTGCGAATCATTATATTTGTCATAATTACAAACTCATAATAATATCCTTAAAAGTACAACTAATTTGTTAACGTAACACAATCTCCATGAATCATTATTTTAATTATAAAAGTAAAAATCAATTTATTCAAATAATTAGTCTTGTTAGTTCTAGTATAATATTTTTTTATTATAAATATCAATCAAATTTAATAGCATATACAATTGATATACTAGCATTTTAACTTAATTAAATAAATTATGAGAACATTGTACACATACTTTAATTTATAGTAAATAAATAAATAAATAGTTTATAACATAAAAATAAAATTAAGTCTTAAAAATTCATTATATATAAAAGTTACTTATTTTAATTTTGTATTATTTTATTATTTATATAATAAAATAATATAGGTATAGAGTAGACTCTGGATAATCCGACAGAAAAAAACTAAAGTACTGTCAGATTAACGAAAACGCCGGACTAATAGAATTTCACATGAAAACGCATTTTAAACGCATTTTTACTATTTGAAAAACCTTATTCTATTTTATTAAAACATACATACTGTAAATCAGTGATGCCCAACCTTTTTCCTTTGACGGTCCACTTTGGTAAACAATTATCTTCAAGCGTGCCACAAAGTAAAAAAGTACTATCTTATATATTGGACTTGTTTTCTTATCTTTTACTGTCTATTGAAAAGATTATGAATTGAGGTATACATAATTGTATTTTTTGGAATAATTTAAATAAAAATAATATATGAAAATAAATAATTAAAAAATGTTTTCATACATTTTTAAAATTTTCTTTTATTTGAGAAAATTCGTAATGGGCCACATAAAATACCTTCGCGGGCCGTGGGTTGGGCACCACTGCTGTAAATGAATCTATTGTTGATTTAGATTTAAAAAAAAATATGAATTTGTTTTTGTTTAATGATTTCAAATAATGCTTTTAAGGCAACATTATAGAACGGATTATAGAAAGGTCGGATTACTGAGTTTCCTGTATATACGTTTACTCGTACTTATATAATTGTATTATAACTTAATTGTTTGTTTAGGTGGAGTTTTTATTGTTATATTTGTTGGGATTGGACTGGCTTGTTTTACGTTAGCATTTGAATACTGGTGGTATAAGTATAAAAAAAGCTCAAAAGTTGCAAATACGATGAATCCAAAACAAATGGTAATAGGTAGAGGAGAATTCACTTATCCAATCATACCTAATTATGAAACATCTGGAATGAGATCAAGAAACATTATCCAAGGTTTGAGGTAAATAACCATAATAAAGTAATAAAAATTTAAAAAACAACCCTTGTACTTATTTTCTACGAAATTTGATATCAATTATGTTTTTGTTTTAGACGATCTATTAGTCAATCTACACCCAAACAGCAATAATGGATTCTTCAACAATTGCATTTACTTCATAAAATTAAATTAATTACATCAAGTATCAAATTTATAGTAATTAAATAATAAATAATAAATATTACACTGTTTATTTCTCTTTTAATTTGGTTATCTAGTTCTTTCATACTTCTACTGCAGTAATCTTACCATTATAAATATCTACTACTGTACTTTGGGCCATGCCTGTATTTAATAATATTAATTAATACTAAAATAAAATATACATTAAACATTATTTCCTACTTGTGTGCAAGGTATATTATTGTTTTTTTATTTTTAATATATTAAATGTATAATTTACTCAAATTTAGAATATTTTAATCCAAAAATTAATCCAAAATTTAATCCACGAAATTACCAATTACGTAACCAGTTATTATGTTATGTTCATTAATGATATTTTCTTATGTAATGTGAAAATTTAGTTTTATATTTATAAACAGTTTCAAGACCTGTTGAAAGAAAAAAGAAATGATTATAAGGAAAAAGAAAAACTATATTACAACGACTAAATAAACAAATTCAATTTTGCTGATATTTAGTATCTGATTAATTTCATTATAAATATGTTAACATCCAATAGTAACTGTAAAAATTACAAAGTAATATTTGATAAGGAATTTTTTTTTAAATTTAGATTTACCACTTTTTTGCCACATTAATTACACATACTTGCGATTCCTTATTAGTTGCTCTATAGGGTTAGTGTTTCCATGATATTTGCTTTTAAAAATTTTAAAATCGATTTATTCTCAGTTGACATTGTTCATTATTGAAAGAAAAATTGATAGAAGTTATTTGAAATTGGATTTATTACTTTTCGATACGGCCCTGACGATTTTAAGCCGGCATACCATAAATGGGGATTTACTCAATTCCGAGACGGTATACTATTAAGCTTGTGAGCATCCTAACTTTTGGTTTAAAACCATAACCGGACCTTATCAATTTTACAAGAAAGTTATTCAATTGAGAATTTGAAATTAAAAATGAATTATTTGGTTTAGATATTTTATATTTTATTAAACCCATAAATAGTACCAATTTCCAATGAAACTGCGATAAATTTTAAATTTTAGTGAGTAGTAAACAAAACGTCTTCACTGACCACTTCTGGCCTATTCGACTACAATCTATACGTAACTTACTATACCTAACGCTTTCAAAAGAAAGAACAACTTTTTGATTTTTATTTTAAATTTTTATCAGGTAGATGGGTAATTAAATAATTAGAAAACTATATTGAATACATTGGATACAATAATTTAAAATAACGCCAGACCAATATTAATTAAATTGATTTACAAAATTTAAGACGCATTTCTCTGTTTTACCACATACAATATAACATATTTGCGTTCATTAGTTCAAATATAGGGTGTTCCCTTTAATATTGAAGTAAACTGACCTATAGCAATACTTAGAGGTGATAATATTATCTATGTTTTGTTGATCGGTATTTATCGATGTTTTAATATATAATAATAAATTAACTACTAATCAAGAAGATAATATATGACAAATATAATTAAAACAGGGTTGACAATCTTCAAACGAAAAATTCCCAAGTATTTAAAAAATTGCTCACTTTATGAAACACACTTTATATCAAAAAGACTAGTGGCTACTTCTATTTATTTTCCTTGGTAACGTCGTGATGCTTGTAAACAATGCCGTCATCTTTACGGCCTTCGTCTATTTCGGTTTCAATGCACGGAAAGTTAGGTACCGATTACTCATTTATGGTCTCGTCGTATGGTGTGTCCTTTGAATCAGAACAACTCTCGATCGGATTCGTGTGTTTCAAAGGTGTACATGTTGGGCTGAAATTTCGAGGGAAGTCCATGTTCATCAAGCCATTATCTGTAGCGGGACAACGTGTGCCCAAACCGTGAAGTTAAACAATTTTGTACCACGCGAATAAAAATCTTTTAGTTGAATCTGAAATTTCACTATGAGCCCGAGCCTAGGGGGCACCCCTCCTATATACTATAAATATTTACCAGTGCCGTCGATTCGACGTGAGCCTTTGACCAGCTACATCTGTTGCTGTTCTGCTGTGGTCACCTAAGATGACAGTTAATCTTGCAACCTAAACATTTTGCGATCGGTTCCCATATTGTCCTTACATTGCATTCGCTACACTTGTAGAACCAATGCATTTTTAACTAGTTCACTAGGTGACACAAATGTCGCCCAGTGATTATACTCTATCGACAATATTTTGAAAGATTGGGCGAACTAATGCGAAACAAACGTGTAATACTATAATCGTACCATGGTATTACATTGACTATTTTGAGAAAAACATTTTTTGTCGCCCAGTGAAAATTCCTTATAAAATGCACTGTGTAGAACCTCTTATAAAAGAGCTTATTGTTGAAAATGTGTTGACATTGTTAGTCTATTTTATAATCACGGAGTTAATGAACAAGGTGGGAAGTTGTAAGATATAAAAATTATTAAATTTTAGGTAAAATTTGTCTATAAAGAAATGTTGATGTTTGATTTGAATCTAATTACTTAAACAATCCTACCTGTACTTATCGATAATTTTGCCTAGTGAATTTATTTGTATATCAATGTTAGCCAACTAATATATTTTCTAAATCTTTATTATAAACATATATAGTTTATTAGATATGGTTAGATACGATTGTGAATGATGTGAGGGCCGTTAGTGTGAAAGGAATGAAAAAAATCGAGACAAGTGGAGGTTTAGGATAGGTTAGTCCGAAAACCGAAACTCAACAAATATGTAAACCGAAACTTTTTATACGAAACCTAAACCCGGAGAAAAATTAAACACAGTTTTAACTGAAAAAACCAGGATTGAAATTAATATTAAAATGCAATTTAATTTGTTAAACCATATATTAAATATACAGTATACAATATACAGTATATTTAATCTATGCATAAACTAATCTGATACAAATATCTAAATAAGAAAATGAATAGTGATGGACACTATTGAACTATTCAATAGTCCAAGACATTTGAACTATTTAATAATATTAAGGGTGTAAAAAAAAACCTATAGTAATTTAATAGAAAAATAAAATAAATAAAATGAAAATATTATTTGTTTTATTTGTTATTTGTATCGTGTGTACGAATGTTTACTCATTTCCTGCGTGGTGGGTTATAATAATAATGGTCATGAAGTTAGCCCCCCCACTTTGACCGATTCTCTTCAGACCACCGCCAATATTTAGCAAATTAATTGCAAATAATTGCAAATTCATTTTTAGAATTTGCAAATCAAGTGCAAAGTCACGAATCAAAAAATAAGTTTGGGGGGCTAACTTCATTCAGCCTTCCCCCCAATTTGTCCGATCCGTTCCAAACCGACGTCAATATTTAGCAAATTCATTGCAAATAATTGCAAATTCACCTTTAAAATTTGCAAATCAAAATTGTAATTTTGGCGAATTATTTTGCAAATTTTGTCAGCCCCCCACTTTGACCGATTCACTTCAAACCACTGCCAATATTTAGCAAATTAATTGCAAATAATTGCAAATTCACTTTAAAAATTTGCAAATCAAAATTGTAATTTTGGTGAATTTTTTTGCAAATTTTGTCAGCCCCACTTTGTCCGATATATTCCAAACCGACGTCAATATTTAGCAAATGAATTGCAAATCAAAATTATAGTGTAGGTAAAATTGTATTTGTATTATATATTGTTAAAATTTATATTAATTATTTTCATAAAAATTAAATTATAATAATCAAAAAGTTTTTTAAAAATAATTAATTGAAATAATGAAGAAAATAAAGAAATAAAGAAGAGTAATAAAACTATTTAATAATAATGATAAATAAATATACAATTTATACATTTAACTGGAATTATGTTAAATTACTTACAAAACTGCCGAAGCAGTTGTTAATGTTTTATTGGATATATTTACCCTTTTTGGGGCACCCACTATATTACAAAGTGATAACGAACGAATAATGACGATAACAATAAACTAAAAGATTTATCAATTATTATCAATACCAAATTGCATTATTCCACTTAGTTTTACGGTTTCCATTTTTAAAATTAATCTGCAGTGGTATAATGATATTTAAACAAATTTAACAAATTTAACAAATTTAAACACTTAAAAATCAAATAGTCAAATAGACCAAGTCATGTTCCTCTAGAGAGAAAATAATAAATTAAAATATTTTGAATGATATGAAATAAAAATGTACAATAATTAAAAATAGCCCGATGTAAAATTATGTAAAAATAAATACAGAATTATTAATGCTATGTATTGTTGTGTAGAATTAAGTATAGTTCACAATTATTATTTTAAGCATTATAACGAATTAATATAAATAAACTGGAAACTCCAGTTATCGATGTTAAAAAATTGCATAATAATTGAATCGAAATAATTTTCGAATGTTGTAGTGATAAAAATAGCATCTATTGTTGAAGACGATCCGATAAAGCATGATGGTCTAGGAAACGACCAACACCTATCTGCTGATCGACAAGGCGACGCCGGCACGTTGCACAATACATTGATGAACCATGAGCCAATGAGCCATGATTATATTATTATGGACCAGAATTGTATACAACTAAAAAGTATTTAAATCCTATGATGCAAATATAATGCGTAATAAAATTACAAAATATGCAACAATATTATATGCATAAACAAATTTAAAATGTGCAGTAGGATAAGCTTTTATTTAATATTTGATAAATAATAATATTAAGGTAATTAATCAGTATTTATAAATAGATTAGATAGTAAAGCAGATCTAACTAAAGGTCTGGCCCACGTTACTACTTTATTTTTTTAATAGCAATTAGATATTAGAAATAATAGAAATATTATTTTCGATTACAAACAATTTGTAAATGACAATCTAAACTTTAAGATTAATAAATTATTTTCAAATAATATGCAATATATATATATATTTGGTCAAAGTTTGATTTGAACCGAATATTTTAATTCCAGACTCTAGCTATGAAAAATACGAAATGTATACAAGTAATGAGAACGAAAATATATATCTGCATAAATTCATAAAAACATAAAAAAGGTTTCCAACTATGAAAACTCAATTTTTAATAATTACAATTATTGTATGATGATATTTTGAAGTCGATCGGACAAAGTAGGGGAAGGGGGCTGACAAAATTTGCAA